AACGCGTTTGCAACAATGTGCAATTTTCGGGAGCGACTCCCAGCAACAAAGTTGCAAAAGGAGAATCGCGCTTGCAACTTTTGAGTTGCTCCTGAAAAACGCACAAAGTTGCAAAACGGGGCGTCGTGCAACAATGTGCCGTTTTCGTGGACAACAAAGTTGCAAACCCAGAACGCGTTTGCAACATTGTGCAATTTTCGGGAGCAGCTCTCGGCAACAAAGTTGCAAACCCAATAACGCGTTTTGCAGCAGTGCGCAATTTTCGGGAGCAAACGCGGTAACAAAGTTGCAAAATCGATAACGCGTTTGCCACAATGTGCATTCGAAAATAAAACGAGTAAACGATGTTACAAACGAGAATGACGCTTGTAACATAGTTACATTCAAGCGTAGTGCTTGTAATGATGTTTGCGTTCGAAATAACGCTTCTAATAATGTTGCAATCAGAAATAGAGATTCTAACAATGTTTGCGATCACATATAACGCTTTAAGCAATGTTGCATTCAAAAGTAACGCGTACAACAATGTTTTGCATTCGAAATAGTGCTTCCATCGATGTTGCATTCGAGAATAGAGACTGCAACAATGTGTGCATTCAAGTTTCAAAGGTGAACAGTGAAATAAAAGTATGTGGCTACTTAAAAATCACAGTTCAACGATATAAAAGTTCTTTTCTTGCTACTGCAACCGTGTTCCATACCTCGATCAATTTGCAACCTCAAGTCACACGAGAACAATGGCTCCGCGCAAACCTCATTATACATTCTCAACATATTTTTCCACCTCTGCAAATAACCCCTCTACATATGTGCATCTAAAAGGCAACTTCATTAGCTACATTCATTGATAACTTTTATTAACATATTCGGTCTAGTTTAAAAGTTATTAAACATTATAGTGGAGCGTCTCCTATTCATCGTACTCGTATATAGTCAACTGTTATAAACAATTACTAATATCTACTAAACCACACCACTTAGGGCTACCAAACTAATTGCAGAATATAGATAAAAGTCCATTTTATATTCTATATGCTTGAAAGTGCATAATTTAACACGCATTTCTATTGAAATAACGAAAATATGTTATTACATTCTATATGCTTGAAAGTGCATAATTTAACACGCATTTCTATTGAAATAACGAAAATATGTTACGCTTGAATGCTACGTGTGTAATACCTATACGGTTTTTCAATAATTTCATAGCTTTCTGCTAAATTCTCATGCAAATAACTATATGCATCTGAAAAGTAACTCCTTTAGCTCGTTTCTCCTATAATTTTTATCAACATAGCGTTTGTAGTTTAGAAGTTATTAAATATTGTATGGAAGAGTTACTGGGTTATCGTACCCGAGCATGCCAAACTGTTATAAACAATCGTCAATATTTAATTAACCGTATTAGATACGTGTACGAAGATTATTGTAGAATGTAAAGGAAAGTCCGTGCTACATTCTACATGCTTAAAAGTATAAAATTAATCATGTATTTCTATAGAAATAACGAAAATGGGTTATACATGAATGCGACGAGTTTAGTACTCACCAAAAGAATTATTAATAACTCGCAAACTGCAAAGGAAATATTAATGAAAAGTATAGAAGAAACTAGCTAAAGGAATAGCCTTTCGAACGCATATATATAAGTGCATAAATTATTTTAACAAAGGTACAAAATTAATGAGAAACCACATGCGTGTGCAGCATCGCTCCCGACATCACGTACTAAAATTGTTAATAACTAATTATTGAGAGGGTTTAGAGCACTAAAAGCAATATGTGAACGTTGCTGAAGTTCCAGACTTCATTCTTCAATTCTAAAAGTTCACAAAATCATCGTAATTAATGAGTTATTAATGATTTTTCCCTGGCCAACTTGATTGGGCCCGTGGGAGGTGGAGCTTGGGTGCCCGCCAGCCAATAGGAAGCGTTTTCTTTCAGTCCTTCTCGCACACTAGTGCTCTCCTTGTCTAATACCTCTGTTTATATTCTGTTATCCTATTAACGAGTCGTTAGTTCGCGCAACCAAACACGAGATGGTGTCACTCTCGGCCGTTATTTTTTTTCTGTCCTTGTCTACCTCTATTCCTTTCCTTGTCTACCTCGTTTCTTTAGTACTATCCTTGTTTAACGCTATTCTGTTCCTTGTTTAACCCGTTCCTCTAGTGTCATCCTTGTTTTTTGCTATTCTTTTCCTTGTCTAACTAATTTTTATTTACGCACACAGTTGTCCTTACATTACGATACTACTTTCCCTTGTATAACTCATTATCACAATAGGGAAATTAGTCGTGCCGCTTTATAATGTATGGAAGTACATAAAAAATAACATTTAGCACAAAAGTTGTTTGCACAAATAATTAATTACTGAAAGCGTCCAGTATCTATTATAATGACTGAGAAAGTCTTTAAATCTCTAGGAGAATGTTATTAACGGTTCACTCATTAAGAGCATGATAAAAAGTAAAGTATCGGTACATCAGTTACCAATGTACCGACGCTAAAAAACGCCGCGTAAAATTATTACCGACATAAGATAGTCATTAAATACAGTGGCTCGTAATAAAATTCATTCAGATACGTTGTTGTTCGAGAGATTACTGCTATACCAGTTTAGGAGCTAATTAAATTAAAGCTTGGAACTTTAATTATCGTTGGAAAATGGAAAATTTTTTAAATTACACCTAAGAACAGATCCACAGATTCATTCCTAGATGGCGACACATTGGATGACCTTAAAGAGCGCGTATTTTAAAAAGACCTTATAATAAATAACAAACAAAGTGTAAAATATATGTAAATTCATTATGAAAGCTTTAAATTTTCATTTATGCAACAATTATAACTACGTCCAGAAATGTATCAAGTAACGTACAGGTCTAGAAGAAAGCAACAATAATAGAAAACTTCTTTTTATTAGCAAACCTTAGTTTATATAAAAAAATGTTTTACAATTCTAATAGTGAATGATTTTACGTATGTATTAAATATACATATGGGTACTTCTTAATGCGATTACATACTTTTGATCTTAAAATCTTCTCTGTTACATTGTTAATCTTTAAAAATCTAAATCTAAATTTAAACGCAAAATATTACAAACTCCTGCTTAACATTAATACACTGTTCTACGTATCACCCTGTAGTCAAATCGACCAACTTATCCTACTAATTTAAAGCCGAGTACCAAAATATTTATCTCTAGTGTATATTAACATTCTTGTTTAACCTTCAGCCTTAAAATACTCTTTCTTTTTTTTTAAAGTTTAACATTACGTTAAAGTGTAGCATTTGTAAATTGTTATTTTTCTATTGAAAGACAGCGGTATTTAACGCTAGACGTATAATAATCAATGCAACATTAAGAAATGTA